CCCCAGAGGAGAATGTAGGAGAAGGGATTGCAGCGTGACCATCCCCCCTGGGGGGGGTGATTTCTCGCTTTCTGTCTCTCTGTCTCTGTCTGTCTAGCGAGCGCATGCACCCTATAGCAAAAACCTCTCCAAAAAAAAAAAAAGTTATGATTCATTTTTCTTTTTTAACAAGTAATTATTTAGCGTTCTAGATCTTTGGCAAAAACTACGGACCTCTGAGAATGTTTTAAAATGTATTTAAAACAAAATTCTGAGAGCTACGAAACAAACCCCTTCCACTAAAACAGACAGGAGACTCAAAGAGTCCCTACCCCTTCTTGCCACAGTGGGGAAAAAATACTGAGGACCCTAGGGGGACGACACCTCGACGTCCCTGGCACGTCCCTGTCCACTCTAAGTGGCAGAAAGGAGTCCTTGGACGCCGAGCCCCAGCGAGCCCCAGGGGGTGTGTCTCAGGCCCAGCGGCGTGAAGAGGGACCGGGTCTGGGAGAAGGATGCAGGCACTCCCTCCAAAGCGTGCGGCGGCGAGTTCCCCGCGGCTTGGCCACCCCGCTCCTCACCAGTCCCTGCGGTTCCCAGCAGCCGCTCGGGCACCCTTTGCAGGTCTTCATGAAGGCCGCGGAAGATCTCATGCAGCTTCTCGAAATGCTCCGACGAGGCGGTGGAGGAAGCCATGGCGCAGGCCGCGCTCGAGCAGCGGCCGCCGAGATTTTTTTTCCGGGCGCTCGGCCCGCTCCTAGCCCAGCTATCAGCCGCCCAGCCCAGCAGCCATCACGGCCACCGCCGCGGTCCGCCGCCTAGGACGAGGCGTTTCCGGGGCCGCGACGATGTCCTCCCGAGCCCAACGCCCAACCCCCGCCAGCCTGTCACGGCGGGAACGCCGGGCGCGAAAGCCTGACGGAAAGTCGGGGGGCTGTGCTGCCCGGACGACTCCAGGGAGCGCAGCGCCACTTCCGGAGGAGCGGCGTCCCGAGGCCCTGCGAAAACTCGGTCCGGGACTGGAAAACGAGCCACAGCGCAAAGGCCAGAGGAGACCCACCGGACCGGCAGCGTGGCCGTCTCCCTCCCGGACCCCGCCGGCCATTGAGGGGCGGGCATTGCAGTGCATGCCGGGGTTTGTAGTTCCGCGCAGAGGATGCGGCCCACTCGGCTGTCTCGTGTGGCGGTGGACAGTGGTTCCGCCTGCGCCGCGGCCCGCCTAGGGTGGTCCCTGTTGCGCTGTGGTAGTTATTTCTAAACGCCTAGATGTCTTCTTCCCTGTCATCGTACTTTGCTATGCCATACTGACTTCCGGTCCGCCTGCTGTTTAACCGCGGCTTTCAAAAAGTGGGCCTCGCTTGATATTTTGTAGAGCACTTTTACTGTGCCCAGAGTCACACGCTTTCAAAAGCGGAACCCGGGTATTGAGTGTAACCCCAAATATGCACTCCTAACCCCTGGAACCTGAGCCTGCCCTAGTGCACTAGGCCACCTTGTGCATTCGTTTAGGACAGGTGTTAAGTGTACACATTGTGCAGGGATCTGGGCATAATAGGTCGATGACCAAAGCAATTACCTTTTGCCCTAGGGGATTTATTATTTTATTTTTAAATTTTTATTTATTTATTATTATTATTAAAATTAGCTCACCAGAGAGAGAAGGAAAGTAAGAAACCAAGTTGCCAGGTCTGGGACTCCAGCTGCCTTTGGCCATGTGGGAGTCCAGCCCCTTAACCACCATTCCACCTGCTGGCCTCTCCCTGGAGTAATTTATATTCTGGTGTAGGAGCTCCTGACTTCAGGTCTCATCTGCTACTAGTGGACCGTGTTAATAATTACAAAGTCATTTCTTGCCTTCCATGGATGTAAATAAGTATTTTTACTGGTCTCCTGATTTGCCTAAGAAATCTATCTGGTCTCGGGACCAGCAGTTAGCGTAATGGCTATGTCGCTGGACTCCTACGGAGTCTACCGCGGTTCGCGTCATGGACCCGGTGATTTAAAACTCATACCGGGCGCGTGTGCATGCGTGCCCAAGATCCCAAGGGGAGAATAGAGGAGAAGGGATTGCGGTGTGACCACCCCCCCTTGGGGGTGATTTCTCCCTTTCTGTCTCTCTGTCTCTGTGTGGTGAGCGCATGAGCCCTATAGCAAAAACAAAACCAAACAAACAAACAAAAGAAACTCTCCAAAAAATAGAAAAAAGGAAAAAAAAAAATCTGGTCCCAAATGTTTGCTTGAGAGCCCAGTATTTAAACTGCTCACACTTATTAAAAGGTGTAGGAGGACCAGCAGACCGGGTAATGGTTATGACACTGAACTCCCATGGTTGACTGCACTCCAAGTCCCCAGAACCCAAGGTTTGAAACTCTTGCAGGGTTTGTGCGCATGTATGGCAAAATCCTGAGAAGAGAATGGAGAAGGGATTGTGGTGTGGCCATCCTCCCTGAGAGTGATTTCTCACTTTCTGTCTCTCCAGCAAGCGCACCTGCCCTATAGCAAAAATCTCTCTTAAAAAAAAAATAGATATAGGATGTTGAAGATGTATAGGATGTTCTGGTGGGTTTTATTATTATTAGTCAGAGTTCATTGACCTTTGATTCAACAAGCTATTACATTTGAGCTCTTAGTGTGCTCTAAACCTAGAAAGACAGAGACAGGCTCAACAGATCACAGAGGTTAGGACAGCTAGATCTCACATGGCCAACTGGGCAGAGTCCAACTTCTCCAGACACGTGTGCTTGAGGGGAATGGAGGAGAAAGGATTTTGGTGTGTATATCCTTTGTGGGGAGTGCTTTCTCACTTTGCCTCTCTGTCGCCAGTGAACGTGTGCACCCTATTGCCGAGTCCCGCTCGGCTGAACGGGTTTTTCTGAGTGGGAGCGGGAATTGGATTAGAAATAAATGTAACAACAAGCACACAAAGACACACAAGTATAGAAAAGTGAGGATCAGGTGGGCTTGCCTTCGCTGATGGAGAAAGCTGTGACCTTGAACCACCCTCTATCTTCTGACTCTTGGGGGAAATCTGAATAACACATGTGGAATCCTTAGACTGCTTTGCAGTGTCAGCAGTTAGCATATTTGTTTTTTTTTTAAATTACTTATTAATTTTATTGATTCATTTATTTTAATTCAACCAGAGAGAGAGAGAAAGTGAGAAAACAAGCCGCCAGGTCCAGGACTCACACCATGGTCAGCCATGTGGGAGTGTCCAGTACCTGAACCACCATGCCACCTACTGTCCTGCATATTTGTATTTTAATACTTTCATAGGTATGCAAATGAAGCTCAAAATAGCGTTGCTGCATATGTCTGAAGGTCACTGTGTTTGTTCAGAATGGTTGCTCTCCACACCCTGTAACAAAAACAAAAAAGATGACAGAATCTGAGGGTGGTGGTGGTGTACCATGTTAAGTGTCACACACTGAGTTGGAGAAAGAAGAGATAGGTACAAAGAGGAAATAACAAATAGCCTGGAATGATCGAGTAGTGTATAAATAGCAAAAACCTAAAACACACACACAAAAGTCTTTGTGTAAGAAATCCTCCAAAAAATATAAATAATGATCTCTGAACAGTGCTAAAATAGATAAGTAGAAAGCAGCTGAATAAATCAAATTATCACACAATGCAATGAAATCCATTTAAATTGAGATTGTATTAGGTACCTAGACAATGGACAAATTCTCCTTTAGAATTAGAAATAATTGGGCCAGGGACTAGCAGGTGGCATGGAGGTTAAGGTGTTGGAGCTCACATGACCGACTGTGTGGTTGGGTCCCGGACCTAGTGAGATAGGTGACAGGGCCTCTAAAAATATAGTTAGGGTATAGGCCCAAAATGGAATCACAAAATGGCCAAGTTTTAAAATGGAAACAAAGCAGCTTGGCTGCTTGCTCCGGTGGCTCAGTGATGGACTTACACAGCATTATCTAGACCTAAAACGAAGGCTTTTCTTCCAGGCCCCACCACGTTCCAAAAGAAAATGATCTTTATGGCCCACCCAAAGCTTCTAGATGAAGAATCTCTTGACCTTTCTACACACTCCAAAATTAGAATACCTGAACCTGTCCAGCACGTGCCCCACCGCACACCATCACCACGAGGAAATGCATGCTCAAGCCTCACCTAAAGCCTTCCTGACCAAGATAAAACCTTTCCCTCTCCTTTAATAAACTCTCCACTTTCTCCTCTCTGTGTCCCATCTCTAAGTATTCCTTAGCATGAGACAAGAACCTGTGTCCTACTGCAGGTCCTGGGCCCAATCCCCCTGTACTTCTGCATTCCTGTGTCACCAAAGGCTTGAAAATCACACCAGTCATGTGTGTATGCAGGCCCAAAATCCTGAGAGGATGCTGGAGAAACATCTGTGGCATGGCCACACACACACACACACACACACACACGGGGAGTGATTTCTACTTTTCCTGTCTTGCACATGTGCCCTGTAGCAAAAACTAAAAAAATAGTAATGATAATTTGGCCAGTCCTATAGTACAGTGGTTAGGTGTTGTGCATAGGAAACCAGACACCATATAATCCACCCCAGTAAGAGTCTGACCCTAGTGGCTTAAAAGACACGCTGGGTACACGGGCATGCGTGCCCCAAATCCTGACCAGATGGACAAATGGGAGAAAAATGATTGTGAAGGAAAATAACATGACCCCTTCCCATTAGGGTGTGTTTCTTGCTCGCTCTCTGTGGAGTGCATGTAACCCCTGGCAATTAAGGAAAAAGGATTGAGGCAGGCGGGTGGCATGGTGGCTAAGGCACTGGACTCCCACATGGTCGACCAGAATTTGGGTTCTGGATCTGGTGGCTTGCTTTCTCACTTTCCCTTTCTTTCTCTTCTCTCTCTGGTCAAATTAAATAATAATAATAAATAAAATTAAATAACTCTTTAAAAAAAAGGATTAGAAAAAATTGCATACCCATAATAATAAAATTGTTTCCTTTTAACCATAACTGAACTTTCCTTTAATTCTTACCATTTTTATTCTGGTAAATAAAATATGATAAATAATCAAAGAGAATTTTTTTATTTGTTATTGACAGTTAAATATAAATTAAGTAAAATAGTAATTCATTTGTTTTACTGCAGTATTATCAAAAGTTTTCCAATTTTCCATAAAATTACCATTTCTGAATATATATAGTTTAATGGTCAGAATAAGTTTAACAGATTAATTTACAAATATGAAAAGACTGGGGTCCTATTACTCTTTTCTCCATCAACGTTAGGATATCATTGTCAGTCAAAAAAAATCATAAATTCTATTTGAATAACATACTCCAAACAAGTAATGGGAACATTACCAATTCCTAAGACTTCCTTTAACATTGGTTTTGATAAAAATTTCTCCAAATACAGAATTTTAGCAGACATTCTAATCTTGTCAAGATAACAGAATAAAATACCCTGAAAGATTATTGACTGTAATCTCAGTCCTTAAATAATTATTTTGGGAGGGAAGTTGCTGTCACCTGAGTCAAAGCTGCTGCCATCCCCGGAGCCCTCGGGACCCTCTGCCCCACTGCCACCACCCAGCTCCTGTGCCATGCTGTTGGAGACCCTCAAGCAGCGTCACACCTTTGAACAGAGAATAGAAGATGTCCGACTTATCTGAGAGCAACATCCCACCAAAATACAGGTGGTAACAGAGTGGTACAAGGGTGAGAAGCAGCTTCCCGTCTTGGATAAGACCAAGTTCCTGGTACCTGACCATATCAACATGAGTAACCTCCAAGATAATTAGAAGGCGCTGACAGCTCAATGTTAATCAAGCCTTCCTGGTGAATGGACACAGCATGGTGAGCGTGTCCACGCCCATCTCTGAAATATATGAAAGTGAAAAGGATGAAGATGGATTCCTGTATATTGTCTACGCCTCCCAGGAGACATCTGGAATGAAACCATCAGTGTAAGACTAGAAAAAGGCAACTGCTCTAAAATTTTAAAACCCTTGCCAAGGAAAACAAGGGATATTGCCAAATGAGATTGATCAAGTTCATCTAGTCACAGATCATCAAAACAGTGGTGTTCCCACCTAGGAGTTTTAGGAAGTTGTTTTTGTATTTCAAGCAGAAAAACTGAGCTCCAAAGGAGCAAATTTGGCTTTGGAAAAAACTATTATTTAACCCAGACCACCTTGGTTTAAAACTTTAGAGGTTTAAAAATAAAATACTTTGCATTTAAAAAAAAGATAATTATTTTGAATAAAATACTTGGGGTTTTTATTTTATTTTTCCTGCTACACTCATTGATAGGTGTTTGTTGAGATATTGCCTTAGCAGTCTTGCTAACTCAGGTGCTCACCCTCAATTCTTCGTACAACAGACAATATGGCTGTATGGCTGTGTATGTTATTGCTGTTTTTTAAAATCCTGAACAAGTCCCTTCATTTCATGTATTATCTTCCAGTTTTCTTTCTTTTTTTTTTTTTTTAAAAAAAAGAAAAGAGTCTCACCACACTGTGAAATCCTCCTGCCTCAGCCTCTCAGCTGGGAATACAGGTGTATGCCCCCAAGCCTAGCTCATTTTTAGATGAGGTCTTACTGTTACTCATTCCTGCCTCGAGCAAGCTGTCTTCCTACCACAGCTTTAAAGTTGCTGGGCCTACAGGTGCCTCAAAAATCACACTGGGGCCTCCCATGTAGTAACACCACGGTGTCTGAGTACTATCAAGCACGGTGTCTGAGTACCATGTGCCACCATGGCTAGACTGCACCTCTGTGCTTCTTGGTGGCTAGTTACCAACATACGCAGAGTCTGCTTCCCTTTGCAGCTCCACTCATCTGTATCAAAGCCTGGACTGATTTGCCCTCTCTCTGATCACTGACCTGTACCAGGATCTGGTTTAATACCGTTCCCTTGTGACTATTTTTAATTTTGAGAAAATACTCCTGGCTGCATAAATACACAAGACATGCAAAGATATACATAATGACAATGACCGAAGAGCCTTTTTTCTCTTTTTGTTACCCTGAAAGAAACTAAGGCACAAAAAGGAGGACTCTGTGGATCTGGGGTCAGTAACTGATGTTGAGTGGCCTGTCTTCTCAGTGCTCCTTTCCCCCTTGCTGATCTGAGAAACATCAGGAAAATGACAGTTTAAACTTGACTTTTATTTCTGCTCTCCCCCACATTTCCGCCCCCCCCCCCCAGTTCCCAGAAACTTCTTAGAAAAGAAAGCTCTTCTATAATCTAGACATAAAAACATGCCTTAACAGCAGTGGCTTCAGGTTGTCAGAGATAAGGCCATGCCATGATCTAGATTCAGTTAAGAATTCCTGAAAAAAATCCAGATGTGGATGCCAAGAGGTGAGGGGCAAGACTTGCTCTGAAGCCAAGCCAATGAGATTCATGGAATTCACCTGAGGCTGGTATGGCCTTCTTGAAGTGGAGATTAGTTGGTTGGGAGGAAGTACATTGTGAACAAAGAAGGTAAAAGCTAGTCCAAATTCTCTCAGATGAGCTCTGCTGTGGCTTAGATTCTCCTAGGTAGAAGGTCTCAGAAGGGAAACATGAGCTGTGCAAGTCATATGAGGGCCTTTTGATCCTGTGATAGCTCTAGTAATTCTGGCAGTAAGAGGAGTCAAGTAAACCTGGACAAATGAAAAGACGCTGAGATGAATCTAGTAGAAGTCTGGGTTTTAACAGGACTCCAGATAGGAAAGGCTGGAAGGATTTGGACACCTTGCAGGTGAATGATTTTGGCAGGGAGCGCTGTGCCGTCTGCAGTCTTCTCTGAGTCCACCTGCCACCACCTGTCAGTCCACTGGGAGGCCCAGCAGGTCACAGCTGACGTCCCACAGCCGCCTTGCTACCGTCTCATTACGAGCCTGGGCAGAGACCCATGCCACATGGCAGTCACTGGAAGAGAAAGAGAGAGGCTTGACACAGGGTTAAGAACAGTCTGCTCTCTGCCAGAGATAAGGACTATGATAGGGAAACAACCCAGGGGTCACAGCCACTTTACAGGGCCAATGTTTGTTCTATCTCTATATTCTCCTCTGTAACCCAGAGAAAATATAATTACCACTTTTTATCTCCTTGGTAGATCTCTTCTGATTAGCAATTTTTCTTACTGAAAAATTATTTGTTGTTCATCCTTTTTCTTTCCAAAAGATATCTTTTTTTTTGCATTTAATTACTATAAATTGTTAGAACACACAAAATGAATTTTCCCAGCATGAATACACTGTTTATTAGTCCAGTTTAAGTGTTATTTGTTTGATATATAATGCATATCATTTGGTCTCTAAATCCCCCTTATGTACTGGGTTGTTGGGAAAGTCATGGCACATTTTTGCATAGAAAAACAAAAAAAAAGTACGTCAAGACTTTCCCAATGACCTGATATATATTCAACAGTAACATCACTGCTTGCCCGAACCTGTGTTATATCCATCTTCTTCAAATAAGTCCACAAGGTCTCTTCTACAGGGCCTTTGAGACAGGGACATGGGGCTGAGCGCTTGCTGTTCACATTGGTCACAGATGTTTAGAGTGGTAAAAGTACTTTTGGATTACCTGCAGTTACAGCTCTTTCTAAACTCATAGAACGAATAATATAAAAATAAAACATGGGGCCGGCTCCATAGCTTGGTGGGTTAGGGCAGCTGGATCCCACATGGCCAAATGTGCAGTTCAAGTCCTAGACCCAGCAGACCAAGAAACTCACAGGGCACCTCTGCGTTCATGCTTCAGATCCTGAAAGATGGGAGAAATTGAGAAGGAACTGTGGTGCGACTAGTCACCATGGGGAGGCTTTCTCCTGCCCCCCTTGCAAATGCAAATGCATGTGCTAACAAAAACAAAAAAGAAAGAAAAAACTGATAGGAAACAATAAGGTACCAGGTGTTTTATATACCTTCTCATTGCTGTAATTTCAAGTAGTTTATGTACCTACTAAATGCAGGAGAGGTATCCTAACTCTACACTACCCGGAAAGTTTTCAAAGGGCAGTTCTCTTAGGACAAGTTCTCTTAGTCATTTTTATATTCTCTTTTTTTTTTTGGAGAGGTTTTTGCTATAGGGTGTGTGCGCTCGCCAGACAGACAGAGACAGACAGAGAGACAGAAAGCGAGAAATCAACCCCCAGGGAGGATGGCCACGCCACAATCCCTTCTCCTCCATTCTCCTCTCAGGATCTTGGGCATGCACGCACACGCGCCCGGCGTGAGTTTAAGCCACTGGGTCCAGGACTCAAACCGTGGTCGACTACATGGGAGTTCAGTGACATAACCATTGCACTAACTGCTGGTCCCAGTCATTTTTATATTCTCATGTATAGTACACAATAGAAATGCAATGAAGGTTTTTAAAAAAAATTTAGGCATCTTCAGGACATTATTCAGGACTTTTTAAAAAATTATTTATTTAATTTTATTCATTATAATTATTACTATTATTTAATTTGACTAGAGAGAGAGAGAGAGAGAGAGAGGGAAAGTGAGGAAGCAAGCCTCCAAGTCTGGGTCCCAAACCATGGTCGGCCATGTGGGAGTCCAGTGTGCCAACCACCTCGCCACCTAACAGCCCCATGTTTTGTTTTTGTTTGTTTGTATTTTTTAATATGTGATTGAGTGGATAGTGATTTTTTCCTTTAATTTGTCAAAGGGCATATGCGCTTGTCAGAGAGGGACAGAGAGAAAGGAAGAGGGAAAAAGCACCCCTTAATGGGATATGGTTACGCTGCAATCCCTTTTCCATCTGTCAGGATTTTTGGCATGCACACACATGTGCCTGGTATATTTTTCAAGCCTAGGGTCTTGGATTTGAACCATGTGGTCAGCCATGTGGGATCCTACTCCTTTAACCACTAGCCCAGAGGGCTGGCCTGAGTTGTAATCTTTGTAGCAAAATGAGAAATGATTTTTTTTAAAGAATTATTTTATTGGGGACCAGCAGTTAGTGTAATGGCTATGGCGCCGGACTCCCACGTAGTCGACCGCGGTTCGAGTCCCGGACCCGGTGGCTTAAACCTCACACTGGGCGCGTGTGCGTGCGTGCCCAAGATCCTGAGAGGAGAATGGAGGAGAAGGGATTGCGGTGTGGCCATACTCCCTGGAGGGGTGATTTCTCACTTTCTGTCTCTCTGTCTCTCTCTGTCTGTCTGGCAAGCCCACACGCCCTATAGCAAAAACCTCTCCAAAAAAAAAAAGAATTATTTTATTCAACTTCATTCATTTATTTATTTTAATTTGACTAGAGAGAAAGAGCGAGAAAGAGGAAGCGAGAAAGCAAATCAAGCTGCCAGGTCGATCTGTGGTCAACCATGTGGGAGTCCCCCAACCACGACACCACCTATTGGCCCCGAGAAACAATTGTTTTTAATTACCAGAGGATGTATGTGCTTGCCACAGAGAGACAGAGAAAGGGAGAGAGTACCTTGCAGGTGAATTCGATCATGTTGCAATCTATTTCTCCTTCTCAACAGGATTTAGGACACACACACACACACACGTTCCCTGTGTATTTTCAACCTGTGAGAGCTGGAATTTGAACTGTAATAAACCATGTAGGATCCACTCTCTTAACCTCTAGACTATGGAGCTGGCCCAAGAAGTAGTGCACTATATATATGTGTGTGTGTGTGTGTGTGTGTGTGTGTGTGTGTATTATTTTTTTTAAACAGAGATTTTTGCTACAGGGTGGGTGCCTTTGCTGGAGAGACAGACAGGAAAGTGAGAAATCACCCCCCATGGGGGATGGCCATGCTACAATCCCTTCTCCTCCATTATCCTCTCCGGATCTTGGCCACACACGCACACGCCCCTGGCATGAGTTTTAAGCCACCGGGTCCGGGACTTGAACCGTGGTCAACTACATGGGAGTCCAGCGACATAGCCATTACGCTAACTGCTGGTCCCAGGCCCAAAATCTTGAGAGGAGAATGGAAGAGAAGGGATTACAGTGTTGCTATAGCCCCTGGGGAGTGATTTACCATTTTCCCTCTTTCTCTCTCTCTCTAGTGAGTACATGTGTCTTTAGCAGAAACTAAAAAAAAGAAAAAAGAAATGCCATTTCTTGGGTCACCTGGTGGCATGGTGATTTGGTGTCTGGATTCCACATGGCTGACTGCATGGTTCAAGTCCTTACCCAGAGGCTTAAAAAACATGTGTGTATGCATGCTCAAAAACCTGAGAGGAGAATGGAGAAGGGACCATTGGAGGAGTCTGACCAGGTAGGGCCCCAGGATCTGTTTTGAGCTTTTGACCTTTACCTCTTAGGTTGGGCCAGCACGTTGGCAAGGCCGCTGCTGTGTGCCCTGCTGACCTAGGAAAAAAACTTAGGTCGTATTAGCATGCCGACAGGGCTGCTTGCTATTTGCTTTAGAAAATTGTGGTAGCCTTGCTGGGAAGCAAGCCCCCTCTGACTCCCTGATATACTATAAAAAATTACATAGCTCTCTTGAGTATGTGATGAGATTTTCCCAAAAGTCCCCCAACCAGTCCCCTCAGCGCTGATCACCTACTGTTAATTACAATGCTTTATCTCTGTGGTCACAATAGAGGGTGGGCTGAAGTTCTACCCAGGCATAAATAATCTTGACCTCTGGAAGGCCCTTCAAGATACATTTAACAGGGAACCAGCAGTTAGCGTAATGGCTATGTCACTGGACTCCCAAGTAGTCGACCATGGTTCGCATCCCGGACCCGGTGGCTTAAAACTCACGCTGGGCATGTGTGCATGCGTGCCCAAGATCCCTGGAGGAGAAGGGATTGTGGCGTGGCCATCACCCCTGGGGGGTGATTTCTCGCTTTCTGTCTCTATGTCTCTCTCTGTCTGTCTGGTGAGCGCACGCGCCCTATAGCGAAAACCTCTCAAAAAAAAAAAAAAAAGATACATTTAACATAAACTTAAAGATAATCTTTTCTTTACATAAAATAGGATTAGGCCGAAACTGGCCCAGGACACCCCCCACCCTCACCAAGTGAAATAGATAAATATATTAGGATTCCTTAAATTAGGTTTTAGATCCCTATAAAACTATATAAGTATCATTCTTTATTAAGATCCATAAGAACTAATATCTATACTTGAGATTTTCTTTTCTCAGCACCATTCCTGGTAATCACAAGATGGCTGCTGCGCCACATCAGCTGATAATCATCTCTGCTTGCTAGAGCCACTTTCCAAAACCTGCATTCCATAAAGATGCCTACATCAAACGAACAATTGCGGAACTGCACTAGACCCACCTTTAATCCAACCCTGAATGGAACTTTTATACCCTATTGTTAAAACTTTATGAGCTGATAATTAAAACACGTAGCCCCTCACCCATTTACTTGCATGTATCACATTTTCAATAAAAAGGCACAATAATTCCTAGCAGTTGTCACTCCTCAGAGAGCGATCTCTGGGGGTGTCCGGCTAAGGATGTGCATAAAAAAGGCACTGAGGCCTTTGTCTTCTGTTCACCTGCGCTGCCTCGGACGAGTCAACCCACCCCCGCCGAGGCTGGACCCCGGCAGAACATGGCATGACTATCCACCTTGAGGGCTGCTCTCTCACTTTACTCTCTCTGTCTCACTCTGGTGAGGTGCACACAACCCTAACACACCCTATAGCATATTTAAAAAAAAAAAAAAGCCAATCCTCAGGCCCTGCTTCAGACAATTAAATCAAAATCTCTAGGGTTAAAGTCCAGAAATCTGTTTTCATCTAGTTTCTAGATTTCCAGAATATTCTTGGGCACACTGAAAGTTTGAAAAATACCAATTAAAAATATCTTCACATTGGGACCAGCAGGTGGCATGGTGGCTACATCGCTGGACTCCCATGTAGTGGACCGCGGTTGAGTCCTGGACCTGGTGGCTTAAACTCATGCTGGGCATGTGTGCATGCATGTCCAAGATCCTGAGAAGAGAATGGAAAAGGGAGTGTGGCCTGGCCATCCCCTCAGGGAGTGATCTCTCACTTTCTGTCTCTCTCTGTCTTTCTAGTGAGTGCACGTGCCCTATAGAAAAAAACCTCTCAAAAAAAAAAAAAAAACAACTAAAAACAAAAAACTTCACATTTATAATATAAGCATTAAAAGTCAAAAGTCAAGTACTTCTGTTTTGTTTTTTGTTTTTTTTTTGAGAGGTTTTCACTATAGGGTGTGTGCGCTCACCAGACAGAGAGAGACATAGAGACAGAAAGTGAGAAATCACCCCCCAGAGGGGATGGTCACGCTGCAATCCCTTCTCCTCCATTCTCCTCTCGGGATCTTGGGCACGCACGCACATGTGCCCAGCGTGAGTTTTAAGCCACCGGGTCTGGGACACGAACTGTGGTCAACTACATGGGAGTCCAGTGACATTGCCATTACATTAACTGCTGGTTCCCAAGTACTTCTGTTTAAGAAAACACCAGCACAACCCACGCAGCTTACCATTTCTGAGTGAAATGATCATTACCAAGAACCCAAAGGCTCTATGTCCCTCTTTGGAAATGATCTGGCCTGTGTTAAGTCTCTGCACCCTTTACTGCACACTGCCTTACACTCTATAAGGTTACAGTGAACAACGTGATGGATGGGAAAGTGCCTTCTAAGTTATGACTTGCTAGAAACATTATTCAAGCACTATAGTAAAAGCTTATATAGTAAAAGCTTAAATGTGCTTATGGCATCAGCATTGACACAGTGCTGGTATTCCCAGTGGAACTTGGGTAAGTAATAATCATTGGGTCATCAGAAAAGCCATGATGTATTTTTCTGTTTTTCTATGCAAAAATGCTTCATGACTTTTTCAACAACCCAATAGTATAGGTAAAGGACTGAATGATTTCAAAACCACTGCAAAGCTATAGTAATTAAGGCAATGCGAAGGTGGAATAGTTGTACTGTGGTCAAGTTCAAAGTTCTCCAAGACTGAACTACATGGGAAGGTTCTGGGTTCACATCCAGAGACCCCTTAGTACACTGATACCCAGGTGCCATGGTCTGGGACTGGCTGAGGCTGGGATGGTTGGAGGCATCAGGACCCTACTTAGGGTGTTTTCTCTCTGTCTCTCTCTTCCTCTCTTGCTCATGAAAGGGAAAAAAAAACTGAAAAAAAAATAGACAGTGTGGTACTAGCATAAATAAATGAGCATTAGCAGAAATAAAAGTATAGAAGTAAACTCTTAGATTTATGGTCAATTGATTTTCAACAAGGCTACTATTATAGACTGAATTGTATCCTCCCCAAACCCATATGCTGAAACCCTAACCTCCAATGTGACGATATTTGGAGATACAAGTAAAGTTAAATGAGGTCATAAGGTTGGGGCCCTAATTCCATAGCATGTGTCCTTGTAAGAAGATACAGCAGGAGTGTGTGCACAGAGAAAAGACCAGGTGAAGACACAGCGAGAAGGCAGCCATCTGCAACCCAGGAAGAGAAGCCTCACTAGAAACCAGTCCTGCCAACACCTTGATCTAGGACTTCTAGCCTCCAAAATTGTGAGAAAAATAACTTCTCTTGTTTAAGTCATCTAGTCTGTAATATTCTGCATGGCAAACCAAGCAGAATAATATGAGGGTACTTCAAAAAGTTTGTGGGAAAAAAATGGAATTAAAGTATATTTTGGTACAAAACAAATTGAGATCTATAGTTTTTTTCATAATCTGCATTGTGCATGAACTTTTCAAGGACTTCTTGTACAGTTATCAAGATGAGTTAAAGAATAGCCTTTTCAACAAATGGTGCTGAGACAACTGATTATCCAGATGCAAAAGAATAAAGTTGGTTTTCCAATCACATGTCATATACAAAAATATTCTCAAACTGGATCATAGACCTAAATATAACGTAACAATAACACAGAAGAAAAGATGGTAGTAAATCTTTGTGACATTGGGTAAGGCAATGATTTCTTTTCCTTCTATTTTTTTTAAATTATTTATTGAATTTTATTTATTCATTCATTTATTATATTTTGGCCAGAGAGAGACACAGAGAGAGAGAGAGATGGAAAGTGAGAAAGCAAGCCACCAGATCCAGGACTCAAATTGTGGTCAGCCATGTGGGAGTGTCCAGCACCCTAACCAACACGCCACCTGCTGGTCCCTCTTTTCCTTCTATTTTTAATTTGGTATAGGGAATGTGTGTGCTCACTAGAGAGAATTGGGGTTTGGGGAGGAGTGAGAAATCACTTGCTGGGGAGGTGGCCACACTACAATCCCTTCTCCTCCATTCTCCTTTTGGGATCCTGGGCACACACACATATGTGCCCAGGGTGTTTTGCAAGCTGCCAGGTCCAGGACTCAAACTATATAATCGGCCATTTGGGATCCAGCCACCTTAACCTCCATGCCACTTGCTGGTTTCTCAAATTAGTTTTAATGTTGTATAAATATATATTAATACAATATATTATATATAATATATGTTATATATAATTTTAACTTGCCCTATAGCAACTTAAAAAATAATAATGAATAAAATAAAAAAACAATTATTGGGAAAAAAAAGACATTCTGTCTAAAACTTCATTAAAAAAAATTAGACTGACATAGTAAAAGAAAGGAAAAAGAGAAACAAACAGCATAATTATCATTACAAAGACAGCAAGAGTGAGGCTGACAGGTGGCATGGTGGTTAAGATGGTTGGACTCCCACGTGGCTTACTGCGATTCAAGTCCCGAAACTAGCAGTTTGCTTTCTCACTTTCCTTCTCTCTTTCTCTGGTCAACTTCAAAAAAATTTAAAAAATAAAAAAATGACAATGAATAAAATTAAATTAAAAATTATTATTTTAAAAAATGTATTTCGGGGACTAGCAGATGGCATGGTGGTTTAGGGTGCTGGACACTCCCATATGGTTGACCACGGTTCGAATCCTGGACCTGGTGGCTTGCTTTCTCACTTTCTCTCTCTCTCTGTGTGTCTCTCTCTGGTCAAATTAAAATAAATGAATAAATAAAATTAAATAATTTTTAAAAATTTATTTCAGTGTCCAATTAGAAATGAAAATATTGCTTAAAAAAAAAGATAGCATGAGTAAAACAAAACATAGCAATTCCCACAAAAAATATAAATGGGGGGGACCAGTAGGTGCATGGTGGTTAAGGTGCTGGACACTCCCACATGGCTAACCACGGTTCGAGCTCTGGACCTGGTGGCTTGCTTTCTCATTTTCCCTCTCTCTCTCTCTCTTTCTCTCTCTCTCTGTGTCTCTCTCTTTCTCTGGTCAAATTAAAATAAATGAATGAATAAATAAAATTTTTTTAAAAATGCAAATGGGTTAAGTTCTTTTTTTTGTTATCAGGTGCTTATACTCATAAGAGAGAGAGACAGAGATAGATAGAAAGAGAGTGAGAAATCACTCCCTAGGGAGGTGTCCATGCCACAATCCCTTCTCCTCCATTCCCCACAATGGATTTTGGGCATCACACATTCACATTTGTCATGTTTTCAAGTCACCAGATCTGGACCTCAAACTACTTACTCAGCCATGTGGGATGCAGCCACCTTGACCACTATGTCACAGGCCGGCCCTAAATTCCTCTGTTAAAGGGCAAAATACCTAGAGAGTCAAAAGACCAAATCTCTATTTGACAATGTATTTTTTTCTAAATTTGATTTATTATTATTGTGTTTTTAATTTGCTATGAGGCATTTACTCTTACGAAAGACATAGAGAGAGAGAAAGTGAGAAAGCAAGCTGCCAGGTCCAGGACTCTAACCGTGGCTGGCCATGTGGGAGCCCAATGCCTCAACCACCACGCCACCTGTTGGCCTGACAATGTACTTTTTTGAAGAAGAAGAAGAAGTTTTTGCTATAGGGCGCATGTGCTTGCCAGAAAGACAGAGACAGACAGAGAGATAGAGAGCAAGAAATCACCCCTGGGGGGATGGCCGTGCCGCAATCCCTTCTCCATTCTCCTCTTGGGATCTTAGTCACACATGCACACAGGCCTGGCGTGAGTTTAAGCCTCTGGGTCTGGGACTTAAACTGTGGTCGACTACATGGGAGTCCAGCAACCTAGCTATTATGCCAACTGCTGGTCTCCAATGTACTTTTTTTTTTTTTTAAGAATTATTTAATTTTTTGTAGTCATTCTTTTTAAAAAAAAAAAAAAAAAATTGACCATAGAGAGAGAGAGAGAAAGTGAGAAAACAAGGCACCTGGTCCAGGGCTCGAACCACAGTTGGCCATGTGGGAGTATCCAGTGCTTTAACCACCACATCATCTGCTGGTTCACAACAATGTACTTTTAAAAATGGGTATGATACACCAGAAAAACCCAAATTATTTCCTTTGGGCAATAAAATCACGTATTTGTAAATAAATACATTCATACCTGAAATGTTTCCCACTTAGAACCTCAAGACCTTCTGTTAAGGCACAATACAGACTGGTCTGGGCTCCCTGCTGAGGAGTCTTGATGAAGAAGGAGAAAAGCTGCCACATCCATTTCATGAAAGAAGAGTGCCGAATCAGTTCAGATTTGACTGTGCCAGGATGTACAGAATATGCTGTAACACCAGAGCCTGGTCGGGGGTACCATGTGGAGAGAGAAAGACAGGACTTGATTTTGCTGAACAGCCAAAGGGAATAAAGGTCATAAACAAACACATGACCCTCACATGTGGGATTCCCTGCCTGTGGTAACAGCACAAGCACTGATCATAATAATTTATAACCTCCCATTCAAAAATTGGAAGCTGGGACCAGCAGTTAGTGTACTGGCTATGTCACTGAACTCCATGTAGTCGACCGTGGTTCAAGTCCTGGACCCAGTGGCTTAAACTCACGCCGGGCGCGCGCGTGTGTGTGTGCCCAATATCCCAAGAGAAGAATGGAGGAGAAGGGATTGTGGCATGGCCATCTCCCCTGGCGGGGGGCGGTGATTCCTCGCTTTCGGTCTCTCTGGCAAGTACACGCGCACTTATAACAAAAACCTCTCCAAAAAAAAAAAAAAATTGGAAGCTAAGGCTCAGAGAGGTTAACTGCTGTAAAGCACAGAAACAGGACTTAACCTCTCAGCAGCACTTCACGTTGCTGACCAACTTCTTCTTAAAGTCTTTTTCACTAGGTTCCTATTATCCCACACCTCCTATGGTTTTCCCAGCCTTTTCAGTGACTTTGTCTTAGTTTCCTGGACCAGTTCATCATCTTAACCTTTTTCAAAAAGTTACTTATTAATTTAATTTTATTTATTATCATTTTTTAAATTTGCTATAGGCACGTGTGCTCACCAGAGAGAGATGGAGAGAGAAGGAAAGTGAGGGAATAAGCCACTGCGACCAGGCCTTGAACCACAGTAAGCTATATGGGAGCCCAGCACTTCAACCACTGTGCCACCTGCTGGCCTCCAGTTCATCATCTTCTACACAAACTAAAAATGTTAGAGTTCTCACAACTCACTAAATTTCTTCTCTATAATTTGAAGGCGGTCACATTTTAATCTACCAGTCAAACTGCTTCTTTGTACTCCAGACTGCTAGGTGAGCCAGCATACTGGGGTAGCTAAAGGCACGGGTAGCCAGACTGCCCCATTTCAGATCCCAGCTCCACTCACTAGCTGTGTAATCTTGGACAAGCTCCTGTTTTTGTGATTGATCTCTCCATCTCTAAAACAGAGATAGTCACAATATCTATATCTCACAGGGTTGCTCTAAGCGAATTTCTCTAAATGAGTTCATCTATGTAAAAGAGCTTAGAATGGAGCCTGGTACATCATATGTGTTCAAGGATGCTTTTGCACATGCCATTTTAGGCCCCCAATCCTTTACTGGAAACTTTAAGACCAGAAATGTTCCAAATTTTTTTCTGATTTTAGAAAAATACTGTGAAGGGACCAGAAGGTGGCATGGTGGTTAAGGTGCTGAAAATTCCTACATGGCTGACCACGTTCAAGTCCCATACCTGGTGGTTTGCTTTCTCACTTTCCCTCTTTCTCTATGTCTCTCTCTAGTCAAATTAAAATAAGTGAATGAATAAATAAAATTAAATAAATAATTCTTCAAAAAAAGGGAAAGATACTGTGAATATATAAATACTATAGATTATACTTTCTATTACTTAATCCCCCCTAGTACAGGAGAGATTTTGCTAGAATGAATCTTGGGTGTCAAGTTTACAAAAAACAAACAAACAAACAAACAAACAAAACAAACAAACAAAAAACCAACCACACAACACACAATTTCCAGGCCTTTATGTAGTTCACAACTGCACACAGAGGTAGCCCGTGTTATTTCCAGCTACCTATTCAATATCTACTCTAGATGTCCCACATTAACAGACTCAGAGGACCTAAACTGACCCCCAGGCCCAACATGATTCTTCACTGCTCCCATCATGTCTAATCAGGCACATGAGAACAGTTCTTGATGGTTCCCGACCTCACCATGCATATCCAATCTACAGCCTGTGGTTTTCACGTTCTAAATATCTCTCAGGAATGTCTACTACTCTCCGTCTCCACCACTCTAGGACAAGATAACCTAATTTCTGGCCTCAACTACTGAAATTCCCTGCTGTATCCACTCCTGTCCCCACTTTCACAGGCACTCATTTAAGGTTTCCTGATGCTCTAAGAATAAATACCAAAACCATTACTGTGATATCTACGGATTTGTCTTCTGCCTACCCCACCAGTCTCAGGTCAGGCTTCTATTCCTCTTGCTTTCTACATTCTAACCATGGCAGCTTTCTGTTTCTCAAACTGGGCACAGATCTTCACACATTCTCTTTCTGGAATATTCTTCAGCCTCCTTACCCTGTGACCCATTTAATTTCTAATTCTTCAAGGCTCAACTTACAACTGCCTTTCTCAGAAAAGTTTTCCCCTAAACTCTGAGACTGAATAAGGTCCTTAATCCCACTCAAATCCATTATAAGTCCTTACACTTTTCTTTCAAAAGCTTTTTTTTTAATAATTATTTTTAACTTTCTTTCTTTTAATGTGACCAGAAAGGAACACACACACACACACACACACACACACACACACACACATACAGAGAGAGAGAGAGGGAGAGAGAGAGGGGAAGTGAGAAAGCAAGCCGCAAGGTCCAGGACTTGAACCGTGGTCAGCCATGTGGGAGCCCAGTGCCTTTAACCACTATGCCACCCACCGGCCCCCATAACCTTTTTTTTTAATATGGTTAGAACTCAATATAATTTATTTTATGATTTATTATTTGAAAAACATTAACTAATGTTTGAATTAATTCTTATAATCCATTGTTGCAAAAAAAAATCAACAGTAATAGGAGACATTATAATTGGAGATTGTGATAGACAATGGGAGATTTATCACAATTATAATCAGATAGCAATAGCAGAAAGGAAACAACCTAGATGTTGAGAAAATGAATAAACTAAGGCATATCTGTATTAGGAAGTAAGATACAGTCAACAAAAGGAATGGGGTAAATCTACCTCTACTACATGAAAAAATCTCCAAGATACTGTGGTAGAGTTTTAGTTTCTTGTGTATAATACGTAAATGCACAAGAAAGGGGCACAATAATCATTAACAGTGGTTACTTGGGGACCAGCAGATGGCGTAATGGCTATGTCGCTGGACTCCCATGTAGTCGACTGTGGTTCGAGTCCCTGACCCAGTAGCTTAAACCCACTCTGGGTACATGTATGTGCGAACCCAAGATCCTGAGAGGAGAATGGAGGAGAAGGGATTGTAGTGTGGCCATCCCCCCTGGGGGTGATTTCTAGCTTTCTGTCTCTCTGTCTCTCTCTGTCCTTCTGGCGAGTGCATGCACCCTATAGCAAAAACCTCTCCAAAAAAAAAGGTTACTTGAAGGGAGAAAAGTGAGAGGGAGAGAGAGGAATAAAGGAAAGAAGTTTCTCACCTTTTATTCTGTATATTTTTATATTATTTGAACTTTTAACAATGAGAATTATTCAAGTACTACTAGACCGATTTCACATATGACAGTTGTATATACTTGCTAATCTCTCTCCCCTAGTAGACAAAAGCTAAATCAAGAAAGAGACTGCTCCTATCTTGTTCACCTCAAGTCCCTCCCTTCTACACAGTCTCGCTCTGAGTAAAACATCCTGACTTGATCACAAGGCCTGAATTCTATGCCCCAGTGGATGGAATAGCATGGGCACTGAATGTGTGTCTGTTGAATGAGTAAAGCTCTATCCTACCAGGGTTCTTCCACAAAATTATCAGGGTTACCTCCCTTCTGGATACTTTGCTTTAATCTGAATCTCACCACTAAACCCATCCCTCCACCTCCAGGCCACCCTAGCTCCCTGACCAAACCTTTGGACAGTTTTCACCATTGAGTTACCCTCGTTTATACTGAGCTGATAAATATCCATGACTGGGCACATGGACTGAGCTGACCACCAGCTTCCTTCCATCCCATCTCACAGCTGTTCCTGTGGTATAACCGTCCTCTTCCATCCAACAACAGGGCTCCTACGCCCGAGTCCCTGAGCTTCAATTCTGCCTGCCTCAACTCCAAAGCATGGACCATCCCAGACTTCCTACTTGGAAATTCAGAGAGGACAGCAGTGCTCAGGACCTTAGTCTGTTTGTTAATGAAATCATACATTTGCGCATACATTTCCCTCTTACTTGATCCTTTGCTGTTAGGGAGAGCCCCTCCCCCACATATTTCCAGTATGTTTTATCCTAATGGCTATATCTAGTGCCAGTTCAAGTCCCTCCCTTCTACACAGTCTCACTCTGAGTAAAACATCTTGACTTGATCACAAGGCCTGAATTAATTATGGCAATAAGCTATGGAGTAGTCCCATTTTGCACTAAGTCTTGAAAAGTTAAGTCCTTTGCTGCAGATCACACAATTAGTAAGTGATAAAGCCAGGACTTCAGACTCAAACCAGAACCTCCCTGTCCCTGACCAGCCATTTCCAATATTCAGCAGTGGGCTGCTTACTAAAACTGGACCCAGTTATAGTCACAGAAGCAGATTCTGTCAACATGGTAGGTTCTGGAAAACAGTTTGCATCCCAGTGGCTTTTAGCTACCTACCACTAACTCACGTTTCCACACTCATTTCTTCCAAACCCACCTTTTAGCCTCCGGGCCAGCTCCTGAGTAAAGAGAATGTTGGCCAACTTGCTGTGACAGTAGGCCAGACCTGCGCTATAGAACTTCTCGCCCTGCAGGTTATGGAAGTGGATCCTTCCCAGGTGATGCGCTAAGGAAGACACATTCACTACCCTTGATGGGGCTGATTCCTTTAGTTTTTCTAATAGTAGATGGGTTAGGAGGAAGTGACCTGTTGGAAAAACAAAAACAAGAATTAACGGAGTTCAGGGCCAATATGGGGGTCAGAGTAGTGGTGAGTAAGGCAATGAAGAGAACTCAGGAATAAGGTCTTTTGCAATATCGTACTTCAATTTTTAATTATCAACAAGAGTTCAATGAGGTTTCAGGGAAATCAGAACAGCCAAAGACTTGAGACATCCTCACATAAGGTAAGCCTGGACCAAGTGAATATGAAGTTCTGTTACGCTCCACCTTTGGTTAAAAATCACTCTTTAAAAGGGCCAAGCATGATGGTTAAGGCGTTGGACTCCCACCTGACCAACTGTGGTTGACCCAGACCTGGCAGCCTGAAGATCACACTGGGTGCATGTGCATGCATTTTTAAAATCCCAGGAGGAGGGTAGAGGAGAAGAGACTGTGGTGTGGCCAACCCCAGGGAGGGTGATTTCTCACTTTCCCTCTCCCTATTTCTCTGGCAAGTGCATGTGCCCTATGGTTAAAAAAAAATAAAAATAAAAAAAGCAAAAAGTGAATAAACAAACAAAAATACATGCTTTAAGAGCAGATGGCCTTGGACCAGCCTGTGGTGTGGTGGTTAAGGTAGCTGGATCCCACATGGTCAACTACATAGTTCAAGTCCCACACTTGGTAGCTTGAAAAACACAGCAGGCACATGTGGATATATGCCCAAGATCTTGAAAGGAGGAAGAAAAGGAGAATAGATTGCGGTGTGACCATCCCTCATAGGGGGTGCTTTGTCACCACCTCCTCCCCCATCTCTCTTAGGTGAGTGCATGTACTCTATGGCAAAGTTTTTTTTTTAAAAAAGGGGCCAGCAGATTGTATAATGGTTATATCACATGGCCAACTGCAATTCTAATCCCAGACTTGGTGGCTTGAAAATCACGCTAGCTGCATGTGTGTGCATGCCCAAGATCCCAGGAGGAAGATGGAAGAGAAAGGACTGTGTTGTGGCCATTCCCCCAAGGGTAATTTCTTACTTTCCCTCTCACTGTGTCTGTCTCTTTCTCTCTCTTGGGCAAGCACATGAACCCTATGACAAAAACCTCTTTAAAAAAATTTTTTTAAAAAAGTGTGCAATGGGGGGGGAACCAGCAATTAGCGTAATGGCTATGTCGCTGGACTCCCATGTAGTCGACCGCCGTTCAAGTCCCAGACCCAGTGGCTTAAACACACCGGACGCGTGTGCATGCGTGCCCAAGATACCGAGAGGAGATTGGAGGAGAAGGGATTGCGGAGTGGTCATTCCTCCTGGGGGGATAATTTCTTGCTTTCTGTCTCTCTGTCTTTCTGGCGAGCACACACGCCCTATAGCAAAAACCTCTCCAAAAAAAAGTGTGCAATGGGACCAGCAGCTAGCATAATGGCTATGTCGCTGGATTCCCAGGTAGTCAACTGCGGTTCAAGTCCTGGACCCGGTGGCTTAAACTCACGCCAGGCACGTGTATGTGCGTGTCCAAGATCCCAAGAGGAGAATGGAGGAGAAGGGATTGTGGTGTGGCCATCCCCCCCGGGGGGTGATTTCTCACCTTCTGTCTTTCTCTTTCTGGTGAGCACATGCGCCCTATAGCTCCAAAAAAAAAAAAAAAAAAAAATGAGCAAAGCTAGAACAGGTCTCAGGTTTACCCCTCCCCTTTCAGGCAGAACCAAACCATTTTCATTCACACATAATAGACCTCAGGGTCTGTAACAGCCCTGAGTTCCAATGACACTACAAAGAAGGTTCAATCTGACTCCCAAGTTTTCTAAGGATTCCTGTAACTTTGTGATAGGATAGATTTCTTACCTAAATGGTTGACTCCCATATGCATTTCAAAGCCATCTGCTGTCTTAGAGTAGGGGCACATCATCACTCCTGCATTGTTGATCAAAATGTGGATATGCTTTTCTTCTGCAGGGAAGAGAAGACAGAGCATGCACATGGCCAGCTGTTGCTGTTACATCTTAGGAACCTGCCTTGGGGGCTGGCAGGTGGCACAGTGGTTAAGGACACTGGACTGCCACATGGCTGACCATGGTTCAAGTTTCAGATCTGGCCACCTGCTTCCTCTCTCTCTCTCTGTATTTCTCAATTAAAAATAGATAAATAAATAAAAAAATAATAAAGTTAAATAAAATAATTCTTAAAAAAAAAAAGAAACCTGCCTCACTCACAGCCAGGCTTTGTGCAGGATGTCGATCATTCCTCCATTTTCTTTCATACTTATTTTGTATTGTTTTTTACTTTAGTTGATCCTACTCGCTTTTAGCTCCAGTGCAAAATTCCATTTTACACTACCAAATGACCTTTCTAGTCTTTCTGGTTCAGGTGCTACGTACTACTTTTGAGAAGTGTTCCCTCTACCTGTCCTAACAAGACTTTTCAAGCTGACTGAAAAGATTCCAAAGCATAAGAAAAGAGGATGTTTTGGGACTGATCCTATGGCCTGGTGGTTAAGGAAGCTGGATCCCACATGGCCGACTACACAGTTCAAATCCTGTCCCCAGCAACTTTAAAAACACACTGGACGGGAACCAGCAGTTAGCATAATGGCTATGTTGCTGGACTCCCATGTAGTCAACCGCGGTTCGCGTCCCGGACCCGGTGGCTTAAAATTCACACCAGGCGCGTGTGCGCATGCATGCCCAAGATCCCGAGAGGAGAATGGAGGAGAAGGGATTGTGGCGTGACCATCCCCCCTGGGGAGTGATTTCTCGCTTTCTGTCTCTATGTCTCTATCTCTCTCACTGTCTTTCTGGCGAGCACACGCGCCCTATAGCAAAAACCTCTCCAAAAAAAAAAAAAAAAAAACACTGGACAAGCGTGTGTATGCTTGCCAGAGACAAAGAGAGAGAAAGAAAGACAAGGGTGGAAGCAGGGAGAGGAGACAGCATGCCCGATGGGGTATGGCCATCCCACAATACCTCTCCTCCATTTTTCTACCCTGTTGGAATCTGGGGCATGGCATGTACACACACACTCTGTGTGTTGGTTACTTGTTTTGCTTTGCTTTTAGTTTTTGCTATAATGTGTGTGTGCTCTCACTGAGGCAGAGAGAAAAGAAAGAGGAAAAGTGAGATATCACTCCCGAGGGTAGATGGCCATACCACAATCCCTTCTCCATTCTCCTCTTGGGATTTTGGACACACATGCACATATGACCAGCATATTTTTCAAGTTGTCAGGTCCGAGACTCAAACTGCATAGTCAGCCATGTGGGAATCCAATACCTTAACCACCACGCCACCTTCTGGCCCCTGGGGTTCTAATTTCTTGCAGAGATACATGCCCTAAAAAGATGTAAGCTTCTTTGTCAGGTCAGCAAGTTGGTGGCCAGTGTTTTTTGTTTTTTTTTTTTAGCCCCTATATTCATGGACCAGATGGCTCTTTGTGGGATTCTCAACCTTTGTGGAACCTGAGATATTACTCCACCTCTCAAGGGCCTCACACCTCATGTCCTAGCCCTGTATGGGTGGTTACAAGCCAAATACTAAAAGCCCATACTGAATTCCGATACTTCATGACATTTTTGTCATCAGCTCTTGCTCACTGCTATGGCTTTTTGAATTATCTTTCTGCTTTTGTTTCTTGAGAAGGTCCTTTTGATATAAATCACATCCCAACAATCATGAGTTCAGCTATGTACCGAAAGTTTGGGTTATAGTTTATCCACCATTTCTATGTATTAGGAAAGAAGGATCTCTTCCTTTTAGCTAAATCTGCCATATTGAGCTTAACTTACAACATAGATTTTGATCCTATACTCACCTGCTAAGAAGCCCTTTGCAAAGGCTCGAATAGACTTGGTATCAGCTAAGTCCAGCTTCCGTACCAACACCTGCTGGTTCCCTGTCACGGTCTGGATCTCTCTGGCCACCAATTCCCCCTTTTGCACATCCCGGCATGCTAAATACACACGGGCTCCTGTCGACCATCATAAAAGAGAGACACTGTCAGCTGTGTTTTTCAGTAGGCATTATAGGCCTAATACTGATACTGAATGTTATTTTCTACTAGTTTTTGTTTTATTTATTTATTTATTTATTTATTCATTAATATAAGAAGTATCTGATGAAAAAAATCAAGAAAAAAATAAATAGAAAATATTATTTAAGTGCCTTTTATATGCAGAGCATCATACTAGGTTCAGACTAGATAGTCAATGAGGCACTTGGAATGTTCTTGAATTTAAGACTGGGAAAAGACGATGAGACTGATCATCACTGGAGGGACTCGGAAGCAGATGAACTTGCCTCTTTTAGCCAAATCTTTTGCCGTCTCCTTCCCGATGCCTGTGTTAGCTCCAGTGACCACGACTACCTTCCCAGGAAGCTGGACAGTTGATGTACACACCCCACTGGACAGAAGTTTCCTGCACACAAGGAAAGGGAGTTCATCAACTCTTCATCTCATCTCAGCTAGAGGTTCCTACAATTCCCTGTTCTCGGATCCCAGGACTGAGGTTTGCTTTGGTTCCTTCCACTGTTGTCCTTTTACAAGGACGTTTGGGGAAAAGAAGACAAAAGTTTCCTATTCTTGCTCAAAGACAGAAGTGATTCTTTTGGGCAAAGGGCAAGCTTAGAGTTGGTCCCTGCAGTACAAGAACTGGATGGATATTGATTAGCCAGGCACCTGACTTCAGCTTGAGCTCTCCTAGGTATTTTTGGCTTAGGAAATCACAAGACTCAGCCCAGAAGAAGAAAAAATTGGTCTCTGTACGTCAATCTGCCCACTTATGGCCTTGAGGAAGTCTAATCCAATACGAAAAGTTAGAATTATGAAAACTTGTGAACCTGAGACAAAACAAACAAAAAACAAACAAGAAAACACCACACACACACACACACACACACACACACACATACACACGAATGACAAAGAAAAGATGCAAAAAAGTAGGGGAGAGGGGAGCTGGGATTCAAGTCCTAGTTTGTCTAATTAGAGTCTTTGTTCCTAAGCCTTTCATTCATTTGCCTTTCCAAATGAATGAATGCACAAATACGCATTAGCATTCCTCAGATTGTTTTTTTGGTTTTATTATTTTTTTTCCTCTTCTCTGCAATCTTGAGGCCCTGGTTAAAAGAATCTGTAGACCAGGAGATGCACTTTTAAGGATCATTTTGGCCTTTTTCATTTAACTTCCATTGAATGGTAAGGTATATAATCCTAGCCACTGAAGACACCTGCTTACTGAAAAGAAGCCAATAAGGAGGCAAACTAACTCATGGTTTTTGGCATTACCTCCCCCCTCAGAAAATAACCCTCTTTTCCCCGTTTCCCATCTCTCTTCAGCATTAGTTCCAGGAGCACCAGCTTACAGGGACCTGTACTGAGTACAACCAGCCTGAAAGAAAGAGACAATCAACTTATAAATATCCACAGGGCTGGCAGGTGGCATGATGATTAAGGATGCTGGACTCCCACATGGCCGACTGTGGTTCAAATCCTAGACCTGGTGGCTTCCTTTCTCACTTTCCCCCTCTCTCTCACTCTTGCTCTGTTCCTCTCTGGTCAAATTAAAAATAAATAAATAAATAAAGTTAAATAAAATGTTTATATATATATAAACACTATAAACATCCAACTCTGGGCTGGCTCCCTTGATCTAGCCAAGTTGGGGATACAGCCCTTGGAGTATAATCTTCCTCAGAAAAATCTCACTGACATACAAATATCATTCGCAGTTCAGTTCCAGTTTTTTCACAGAGATTGCTCGTGGATAAGAGGACAGTGTGGTGAAAAGAGATAAAAAGCAGTGATGTGTACCCAGAAGTGGGAGCACTGAGTGTTCACAAGGCAAAATGCAACTGGAAGAGAGGCACCAAGGGAGGGAAGGGAACATAAAAATAAAGGAATAAAGGAAAGAAGAAAGGGAGGAAGGGAGGCAGATGAGCTTGGTAAGACATGACAGAGGGTGACTTAGCTCGAAATCAAACAGTAACAGCCCAACCTGTAGGAATCGGTCTCTTCAGTCACTGGTCCACCGTCACTCCTGGTGACTTAACTCAGAACCAATCAGCAGGCTGCTGTTGTAAACCACCTACGGACTCTGAGGCACTGGGCCAGCCACGGCTGCTGTCACAAGGTCGGGACCACCAGCCCCATTCTCCCCGTCCTCCTCTTCCCTCCCCATTCCCCAGCACAGTACTCAGATCCCCCAAGCTCCGGCCCCAAAGGCAAGGTAGGTTCATCACCCAACTCTGGTCCCCTTCACTCTCTCCTTTACATTTGCCCAGAAGAAAAGTGACCCTATCAGCCACAGGACAGCCCGCGGCGGCCGGGTTCCCATCAGTTTGAGGGGCAAGGGAGGGATCGCTCCTTCCTAACTCAAAAGCTGGGAACAAACAGCTAGTAAGGGCTGGTTCAAGGCGCGGGAGTTAATGTTGGGGGGCACATCCTATTCTAGGGTCTCAAGCTCACCAAGCTGTAAACTTAAGCTCTTGAAGAAGCCTGGCCTTTGGGGGTTCTCTGGAGCTGGAAGGAGGGGGTGATTAGGCGAAAAAAGAGAGGACTAAGGGAAGCACAGCAGGCTGCCCCGGACTGCAGCCCCTTCCCACGGCCCAGGAACTTGGGTCTCACCCTCCCCGCAGCCAGGGCACCCGAACCTCGCCTCCAATCCACAGAACCCCGGGCCTCTGCCATCTTGGAGCCCACCCCCACCGCCCTGGGAGTTTTCCTCTGTCCTTTTATGAAGAGAAAAAGCTTCGGCGAGGACTCACGTCTCCCCGAAAAGGCTTCGCAAGAGAAGGCAGTTCATTTGCACAGACCTGATTTGGGGTGCAGCCAGGTACAGGAGGAAGGGGAGGAGGAGCAGCAGGAGCAGGAGCCCCACCATCTCCGCGGGCAGCAGCTGCGGCGCACACAGATGCCCCAGCGGTGCTGGCGGACTATGGCTTCTCCTCCTGGACACGCCCCAGCGCAAATTGCCACAGCCCGGGAGCAGCGCCCTCTGGGAGTCGTAGTCCACGGCGCGGCGGCGGGGAACAGGCGGG